AATAAACATCTATGCACTGCAGGAGCCAAGCTTCCAGGTAGGAAATGCTGAGGTCTAATTTAAGATCCTTACTTCAAGAGAGATCATTAGAAAACCTTTTTAATTAATCGAGCTGTGCTGCATAAATACAGGAGTGTGCTGGACTGTTATACATAAAAAGTATGGTACATTTTACAGCTGACAAGAAATGAGAAAAGCCCTCTCACCATTTAGCAACAAAGCAATATTTTTCTGACTTTATATAAAAGAAGAGCAAAATTAGATTTTATTTTCAATATACTCTTACAAAAGGAATGGAATGAGGAATGGGATGTAAGAGAAGATCTTTTTTTAAAATACTGCCAAATGAAGGCTTCATTTGAAACATTAAGATTTTAACGTTCTGATACTTTTTAACTCTGTTTTATCTATCTAGCAATTAGTCTATCAATCCAGACATAATATACTCCCACAGGAAACAATCTTTATATATATGAATATATGTACATGTCCCAGGTTCAATTGTGAGTGATTAAAGGTTTGTACCAGGAATATTCATCTCTCTCAGGGAGGCCAGGCAATACACAGAGATGTCTGTACAAACACACACACACACAAACACACACCTACTTTCTCCCTCCTTTTAAAACCCTTTTGTCGCATGGAAAATAATCTTTACCACACGCCATCAGTGCGTCTTTATGGGCTATCCTCAGAATTTCAAACTGCAGCAATTTCACTGGGAATTAATGGGCGGAATGATATGATACATTGAACAAATACATCTGTTCTTACTCCTGCAGCTGAAAGCTAACATTTGTGCAAATGAATGTTCCAGCACTACAGCCAAAAAGTGTTTCCAACCTCAGTAGTTCCTCCACTTTAATTTGTCCAACAACATAATCTACATCCCGAGCTGCCATTTACAGAAATTCATTTGGAACTGCCATCATCTTTCAAACATTTAATATAATTCATAAAATGTAGCAACTGCTTAACAAGGAAAAATATACATATTCTAAATGTATGGGTGATCTTTAGACAAATCTCAGCATCACTTCATAATTATATACTACAAGTTTTAATTAACTAAAGCTCTGAAAATCATAATGCCTTATTAAAATGCAATTAATCCTTTGATTAAAAAACAAAAAGCACAAGTATTTACAACAAAAACACAAGTAGAATAATTACAAATATCATGTACCCATTTCTTTTATTTGGGTGTCACTTATGATGTCTCACGTTCCCTTCATTAATTCAAATACACACATTATCTCAAATCCACAGCAGACTGAGTGACAGTGGCCACCAAACACACAGCACTATATCCTATTGATTTCTGCAAATCCTGAACAATGCCATTTGCATGCTTGTTTCTGTAATAATAAAGATATGCCATTCAGAATTAAAGCACCGGCCAGACTAGTGGCAACTAATTGTGTTGTGTGTAATGAGTGCAATTTCAATTTGATATAACCCTCAGCTTTTCTTACAGCATTCGCTAAGTACTTTCAAGTCTTTGTGGGGAAATAATTGATTTTTTTGTGCTGTGGGCACAAGAAAATTATTATGATCTTTTGAATAATGCCAAAGAAAGGACCATGAATGATTTAAATTGGTATATGAAGAAGGCTTCACTGTGGATTGCAGTTTGACTGACATCCTACTAATGTAGTATCTAGATTAGCAATTTTTAAGGAGGCAGCTAATATAAAACTGGTAAAACGGAAAACATTGCTAACAGGGATTTTGTATTTGTTATTCAGTGAGGAATAACAATATGGGGATTTAAGGCATGTCAGACAAACACTATACTATTACATAATTGTCCTCACTCTTTTCTTTTATGGCACATGTATTGAAGGGTATGTTTCAACTGATAAATTACACATTTAAAATATGTAGATACAATGGTACAGTACTAGGTTATCACAGCAGCTAAAGTCCATTGGATGTATCGGGCTGTAACCACCACGTACAAAACCTTTTGTTTTGCATGATTGTGACAGAAAGGTTAGCAATCTTCCAATAATTACTCTTCTGAAGAACTGAGATAATTGCCTTTCCTTTCAAAGGAAGGAAATCTTTTTCCTAAAATGCTGCCCACACCAGAGCACCAACCTGCCCATTTTATCCCCTGCCCTGTAAGTTTTATTTAAGAATGAAAAGTCAGAAAGAGGTCTCAGCCATCTAAAGCAGCACCCCAAGTCAAAATCACCCAAATCACCTCCTGTACATAACTAATTGTAGATTGTTTCAACCTGAAATTGAACTCCCTCTCTCCTTTCTCTTTCTTTTCAGCTGATGAATACATTTTATGTTGCAAAAGTGGCGAGTGAATAAATAAGGACATTATCCACATTCCACCTTAAAATGCATACCTTCCAAATCTTATTCTTCAGAGGAGGGAATGTTGTTAATTTAGTTGGTCATAACTAAATAGTTTCTAATCTGGAGCAGGAGTCTGCTGAGAATATTGGACAGTTTAAAGGTTAATCACCATCGCCTGGTTACACAAGTGAGGCAGAACTAATTCCTCCAAAGGCAAATGGCTTGCAGTTTTATCAGCAGTGCAGATTAGAAGTGTTAATATACAGAATAGAATGGATGCTCAAGGGCCAGTTTTCCCTTATCGGCAAACTTTGCAACAGAACTCAGCTACTGCACAACCTCTGCACTTTCTATAATAAGGCCCCTCATTTTGCCTCTCGAGCAGAACTATCAAACAATCCTCCCCAAACCACTGCCACCAAAATCAGGGTATTACAGACCACAGCTAATTGGAAGATCACTATAATGAAGTAAAAGATAAAATACTTTGGCTGCTGGCCTAAAATGTGGATCAGCACAACATAGGAAGCTATCTGGCTATGTCACATTCTGAGAGATTTACATAAACAATAAACTCAAACCAACAGCCCCCAAAAATACATCTTTGTTTACAGTAAATGCAACCTAAAGCACTGGTTATAAAAACTGTGGGGATTTACATATTCAGCATTATTGTTAACAGAGCAGACTCTACCAGATATATGTAACTTTATGTATGCAGTGCAAGAGGATAAAAGAAGGTAGGATATGTAAGTACACATGTTGTAAAACATTTACATATTTATGCTGCTCGATGTGCACTAGAATACATTTGTTACTGCAGCACATTACAGCATACAGAGTCTTGCTTGACTTTTCCAAGGCTGTTCTATGCTGTGGGTGTTTTTCTTCAGGAAAAAAAAAAAAAAAGGAGAGGGGAAGATCCATAACTGTCACCTGCTATTTCCCAAATAAAATATACTGACAGAAAATCCTACCTAAAAAGACATGAAAAAGAAAAGGTACTTTGTATATATACATCAAGGAGAAAAACAGGCAATTCTACTCAACAAATAAGAAGAACAGTCAGTTCAGAGAAAAGTCATCTGAAATATTACAGTAATCATCTTTGTGAAAGAAACCTGGGGACAATGGGCATATGTTTTACAAACACTGAGCTTAAGCCTGTTCCTTCTGAATGAGTGGGGGTTCTGCCACTGACAAAAATGGGCTCTGGAAAAGCTTTGTAAGTTCTCTTGAATTTCTGTTTAAACTGTCCAGGCTGTCCTCTCTGCACATCTCCTATGTCACCAATATATCAAACTTTTGCTCCATCCATCCTGTTTCTTCTCTGCATATGGGCTCCAACTGAGAAAAATATTTCATTTCAGGACACCAAGTACTTAAGTCCCATTCATATCTAAGTTCAGTTCAGGAGGGGGATGTAGAACATCATGAATTGATTTATTTTCCTAAAATAAAGGGCCGCTATTTTAAATGTGAGATGTGTGGCACTTTAACCAAACATAGAAAATCTGATTCCTTCTAACTGCCACAGAGGAAGAAGTATTTTTTTATAGAGAAACAACTTTTCCTTAGCTGTGAGCTTCCAGAGGATATGTAGCACTGTCATACCTTGCTCAGGGAAGCAGCAAAAGGAGCACACAAAAGATGTAAACAATAGATCATTTTGACTCAAATATCACCCACTACAATAAATATGTTTGAAACTGGAATTGGGGAACTACAAACCCTTGCTAGCTAGCAACAGAAAACATAATCTCTCACATACATTTTGATGTTCTTTAAGAATAATTTAATTAGATACATGAAAGTATAACCCCAAGCATACTAGGTGTAACACAAGTAGAAAGGAGAAATTGCCTTTTGAGAAGGATTTGTGCTTGGGCAGAGCATGCCTATTCCTTAATATTTCGGAATATAAAACCATACCTGTCTAGATTCACAGTTAGTCATCACTACTTGTTACCAGAGCAAAGATACTCTCAAAACCTCACAGCTGAAAACAAACCAATGCCTTGCTGCCATCATACCCTAGTGGCATCTCCCCTCCCTTCCAAAAACTTGGGTGAACTTGAGTTCTGCAGTGTCACCTGAGAGCCTGCAGCTCTGCAGAGACTCTGAGATGCATATCTCCACCAGCCAAGGAGATATCCATCAGCTCCAAGCCTGACACCCTCCTGATCCCTCAAGGCACATCAGTTTAGCTTCACTGACACAGAATCAAAAAAAAAAAAAAAAAAAAAAAAAAAAAAAGGGAGATGGGTTCTATAGCAAGGATCATAACTATTTAATGCAAAAAACAGACTAAATTCTTTTCATATAGCGGAGTGTGGACATTGTTGGCTGTTAATGGAACGCACCATCACAAGAGTTGAGGTTTGGCTCTGGTCTCATGGTGTAACTGGATGTAGGTGCATTGCAGAGATCTAATCTTGAGGTGAAACTGAATACAGTTTCATCACCAAGTAGATTAGATGAAAAGATTCATAAGTACTGCCATGGGCATAGACAAAAACCATTAAGGACTCTAAAGTACTTGCAGATTGAGAAAGGCAATACTGAATGCTTGAAAAATTTCATTTAAAGTGAGCACTAAAAACTAGTGCTGACAATCCCCTTCCCTCATGTGGGTCTCACCCTACCAGCTGGATTTTACCAGCTGGGGGGGGGGGGTGTCTAGCACTATCTTAACAGTAGGTTCAAAAATTTCTCCAACTGGTCCAACACTTATTGAAGGTAACAAAGACATTTACCATCACTCCAAGAAATCACTCTACTGCTCTCAAAAATTAAGATTATAGACTTCACCCTGACTGAAACAATCTTATTGAAACTTCTCATTGGAAAAACAGCCAGTAGTGTAATCAGATGAGTGAGAACTCATAAGTTTTCAAGAATCAGGAGCAACCTGTTGATCAAATGAGATCAAATAATCACCCCTCATATTTTGAGGGATGCACCAAGCCTACTAATACGTGACCAAAGATCTCCCACCCTACAAAATCCACAGATACACTCAGAGAAAAAAAATCCCACAACACATTAGCAGAAACGTGCAGATGTCTGAGAAGCAAACACAATGAAATCAACACCAATTGATAAATTAAGGACTTTGGTCTCTTATGGACTATCTAAAATAATCCTTTTTTTCCTGTCCATCCAACATGAGGAATAAAATTAAAGGCAACACAGAATAAAAGCAGAGGCTACAGAGGAAGGTATCTGTTGACCACAGGCACCAGTATCTTCTTTCTGCTCATCTGTGTTTGTGGACAACATTGTGCACTTGTAGATAGCATTGCTGTTCATCAAGCACTAACATAGCTCCGGAGGGATTAATCATATCCTGGCAGGAGGCTGTCCAAAATGACCCATTAGAGATTTCTGTCTTCAGCATTTCCAACTACAGGACTCTTGGAGGCCAGTGATTTGAACCTAGTGATTCAGAACAGCAGGAGATACTGTTGGTTTCAGTAGGCACAGAAAATATTCACTCTGTCTAGCCACAGTTTTTATACAACTCTGTCATAAGAATATTCAAGTGCCTTTGTTGTTTGCAAGCACTTAGAGACAGGAAGGTTTGTTGTGTATATATCTTTGCATTTGGTTCATTTTGCACATCCAGCAAATATGTGGAAATGTAAATGAGTGGCTTGATCTCAGGAAATTAATCTGTATAATCATAAACAATGCATAAATTTCATTTGAGAAAAATGGAAGAGAAAATGTTTGAAAAATTGAGGAAGACAGATACAAGAATCTCTTGTAGTCTGGTCTGAAAGTAATCTAACTGGAATTTGCCACTGAATGGATAGATCATTCCATGTCTGCCTACTCCCAGGCAAGGCAGAAAATGTCCATGGGTTTCTGTCAGTTATTCTCCTCTTATTCAGAACTGCATCGTCAAAGGTAATCACGTATTTCTTTGCCTCTAGCACCCTGCCTGAACAGTTTAAGTATCTCTTCATTGAGCCCACAGGCTACTCTTTTATCAAGAGTTTATTAGTGTTTAGTGTTCTACCCTGCCAGACCCACTCTTCTTTTTTTTTTTTTTTGTCTCAGATCACAATGCCTGCATAGACATTTTAAAGAAGATGTGACAATATTTTGGACACATTCCCATTTTTTCTCATCATATAACTGCAAATCACTGGATATGTTGTAGAACTATTGTATTAATGAAGGTACAGAGATAGCAAAAAAAATCAAAAATCCCCTTTTGTCACAATATCTAGATGCCCCGTTCCATTTGGCATCAGCTATAAGTTTACATAGCCTCAAGGGGAGACTGGGCAAGGCCACAGAGCAGAAATGCTTACAGGGTTTTTAAACACTTTGGAACTGCGTCCATTTGGTGAAATTCTTCCGCCATGTGTAGCTGAGAGCTGGGAGAGTACTTAGGGGGAGGCATCAGATATGCAAGGCTGGCTCTCTACTCTTCCCTGCATACCCACTTATGGCTATTGTTGGAGCCAGGATATTGGGCTACACTGACCTTTGTTCTGAACCAGTATGCCTCTTATGTTCTTATTATGTTCTTATGTTAAGCAGGAAAAGAATTTAGCCTCTGGATAACACCCGGTTGTGCTTGAATTCAGCAGCAAAATTCCTTTTCATTGTTTCAGATTTGAAAAATTAGTTACCAAAAAAAGCAGTGTGCACACCAGTATACGAAGTTGTGTTGGTACCAGACATAGAAGATTATTTTTTTTATAATTAAGAACCTCACAGGTTTTTTTATGTCTACATGGATAGGGATTTTTTTTCACCCTGAAAAACATGTAAGCCAAGCCCTGTTCCAGACTCCAGGAAAATTCACCATTAGAAAGGTATTTTAAATATAAAATAAATATAGAAATAAAACCATCCACCTAAGAAAGGATTCTGTAGCAAAAATTTCTGTGTGAAGTCTCAAGAGATTTTAGGCAGAACAGTAAAGTTCGTGGCCTTGCAATCTTTGCCAGAATATGTATGCTTTCTTAGATATTTAGATCCAGACGCTGGGCTCATCTAGACATTGGCAATTTAGTTACAGCTCATAGAGTGGTATGCTGGTTTATAACATTATTTGAATTATGTGATTTTATAATGACATGATTTGAACTCTGTTCAGATGGAGCTTCAGCCCCCTTCATTGAAATGCTTTGGAGACACAAAATGACTTTTGGAAATATTTTGAATCTCTTACTGATTATCAAGTTTTATTCTCTCACTGTCTACAAGAGATACTGTTCCACAGATTCTACTTGGAAAGGTAAGAATTTAGGGATTTCTGGAAGTCAAGATCTACATAAGCACTGTGAATAAATACTTGGCTATGTTGAAGACAATAACAACTTGTATAATGGGTCAGGATGCCTTACAGAAGGTTTTAAAAAGATATAGAAGAAGTGCAACTGGAAATACACAAACCTAATTGCATAATAGGGAATTCTGGGTCATGCCTTAAAATGGACCTGCAGACATCATTACTTACCAGCAACACATCAGGAATTTATTTCCTCCACACATCACAGTTTGAAGCTGGAAAGCAATCTTGCATAGCTGCTTGTTTTGGTGGGACTATACAAGCTGAAGTGAAATCAGACAAAACCACATGTAACAGCAGAAAAACAGAAGAGGCTTAATTCTAAGTGTTTCTGAACTTGGCATAGGAATAAGGAAATTAGAACATGATGAATATTAATTTTTAGATTGCCTGTGCATCAAGAGGTAAAACATCTCAGAAAAGCTACCTCTGCTGTGCATACCAACCTCTTATTCTTTGATGTTTTGTTATACAAACAGTAGTCAGATAAATATACACATAGAGCTCAAAAATCTACAGTATTTCACAATGTCACATCAAGTGAGGGATTCTTTTGATTTTTTTTCCAGACCTGCTCATGTGCACAATTTCTTTATGCCTCATTTGCTGTAAAAATATTGGTCGATGAACAATGAATAAGTAGACATATTTCTTTGTATAACTGAGAGTGAACTGTCTTTTTATGTTTGTCTTCATTTTGCAAGCCCACGTATCTTAACCTTCATAATGCCTGCTTACATTAATAAAGTCAATTTATTTACTGAATTGTATTTTATAGTTATTTATTTATACTTTAATCTTTATAAAGCTAGACATTTACTAGAGAAAATTTATGAATAAAGTTTCACAGAAACTTCAAACATGCACAAGTCTGATGTGCTCTCTTTCAAGAGATGTCTGACTCTGACCACATCAGTAGGACTGCTCTTCTATTCACAGCAACCCAAAACACCTCCTGAACTGGAAGCGTAAATATGTGAGGTAGTGGTGGAGACTGGTTTAGTTTTTGGTAGTCCTTGATTTCTGTCACCTCCACCTCCACGAGAAGCTCAATAGAAAATGTGAAATTTGTATGAACAAATACAACTGATTTGTGCAAAACCCACAGACAAAACACACACAAAGTATAATCTGGAACAGATATTTTAAAACATTTTAGAAAGAAATACTATCTTAAAACAAGTCCATATCCAGCTACTTTATTCTTGTTAGGGTTATTCCATCAAAAAAAAACCTTAAGAGAACTATCAGTACTATCTGACACTATAAACTGACAAAATTAATCCCAAGTGGGAATGAGCTTTACACACAGCAGAGAAAATAGGGTGATACCAAGTGTTGGCTGGTGTTACTGACCAAGTCAGCAGATAAAGCCTACAAGCTGGTTAAACATCTGGAAGGAGGAGGTAGCATTTGCATGAAAGATGGCTGCAATTGTAACAGTAAAATAATCTATTTCTTAGGAAAATGTAACTAAAATGAGCTGGCCCTTTGACCAGGCATTGCTGGTGAATGCTATTAAGGTACTACTTGGAGCAATATCTTGTTTTCTTTGCAGGAGTTGTCACAGATACTGTAAAAGAACCTGCCTCATGTTTGATATTTAATAAGTAACAAGGAAATTTAGAGTTTCTTGAAGCACTTCTTATGGCCAGCTGTATTTTCATTCTGCCAAAAAGAGTAGAATATTTTATCTGGCAAATGTGTAATGACCCACTGGCTGAACTTCATGTAGGTGAGGAAGAGTTATGATTTGGCTTTCTGGTCATCTAAAAAAAAGGGCCCTTTGTTATTTGTTTTGGCAGCCTGGCTGTGTTGTTATGTTTTGAGGTAGTGTAAAACTGGGAGGGAGCAAAGGAAAGCTGAACATCTTTGCAGAAGTTCCGAGCCTTAAAGCACAAGTTCCCGTTCTTAGCTCTGCAGTGCAAGCTTGTCTCTCACGGACAAGCTCCATTAGTATTGTGTAGTCTCCCTCATCTCTAACTCAAAGCAGCCTACCCAATAAGAAACAAAAAATGTTGTGGTAAGACAGGCTTGCAAAACAGTCACACTGCAACAATCTGTGCTGGCCACCAACCAGCTTCCTGATGGCATTTGAGGTTGTTGACTTAAAGCCATGCTGGCAATCTATCAGTGGGGAGTTGAGTGGGAGGGGCCTTTCTGGCCCTGTTGACAGGGCTCAGGGTGGAACAGGCTCGACAACACGTGAAAGGGCAGCTTGGTGCTGCCCACGTCGCCTCTCACCAACACGGTGACTGCACCCACCCTAAGAGTCCTAAATGGCATTCTGCTTGTGAAGAGGTTGCCTTCCTCCTGCTTAAATGGGGCCCTGGTAAGCAGTGAGGATGCTTAACTTAAAAGAGAATATGAGATCAGGAACTTGGACTCAAAGATTCTTAGTTTTTAGAGCAGATGTCCAGAGCCAATAAAAACCACCAAAAAATATCAAAGATACATTTTTTCAGAGGTTTTAGAACCTTCATATTATGAGGGGGTTTTAAAATTCCAACTAAGATCAAAATACACAAGATTTGACCCACCAAAATTTAAAATAGAAAGATTGCACTCTTAGGTGGTTAAGATGATTCATTAACCTTTAACTTTTAGGTTTTTTACATGCTTCTACAGTACCTAAGAAAATATTTGGAGGCATTCAAAAGAAAAATGTTTGGAAAGAGGAAAGTGAAAAGTCTGTATTCCCAAAGACATCAAAACAAGATGTTTTGACAATGCCAGGAAATCTTCATCAAAATTTTTGTCCAAATTCTCTTAAAAGGAGATGATTACATATAGTATTTTGATTTTCACTAATTACATTTGCTGTAGTAGCACAACACAAACAATGCATAGAAGGATGAAACAATGCATGCTTATCAAGTGAAATGCTGGCTTATTTTCATCTATTCTATCAGTAGAAGTACAGCTCATCTCCAGGTAAGATTGCTATGAAAAATACTCAGTGGAAGAAAACATGCCATAAAAAGTAGGAGAAGGGAACTGGAAAAAGTAAAGCCTTATGATGAAACAGATGGAATGAAAACATTTGGCAAATATCACTGGTGGGCTATTTTTTGATATAGCTGTTAGGTTTCTCTAGTGTGAGAAGTCAAATAGTTTGGCTAATAGTCACATGTGCACATTGGAATTAACATATAAGCATCAAAAAACATTGCACCAAGATTTTTAACCAAAGAAGGACTCTTAATAAAGCTAGCACTGTCAAACTATGAAAGGTCCAACAGTCTTGCTCTCCCCTTCCAAAGATTTGCATTTCAGCCTTCCCTACTTGCAGTTTCCTCCCCATAGCAGGAGCTGAGGATCCTCCCAGAGGCTGGGACCAGAGGTTTTCCACCAGCAGACCTGATAATTACAAGCTGCTCTGTATGTGAAAAAAACACTACAGAAGGACAGATAATGGGAAAAGCAAAATGAATCTGACCTGGAAACACCACATTATTCCTTGGAAGTCTTTTTTTCCCCCTGGTATCAAACATTGGGAGTGAGAGTTGTGCTGACTTCTGTGACATCAAGAGGAGCTTTGAATTCCTGAGCACAGAAGTAAATTAAAATTGTAAAAGCCAGTTATAATAAAGAGAAAACTACAGCACTGTGTCACTGTGTTTAGCATCTCTGTGCTCTATCACAGCAAAATTAAAAGATATTAAAGACCTTTATATTTCTATCACAGCAGTGTCATGTTTAAGACAATAAAACAATAAACTGATTTTTCATAACACCAAACTACCTTCCCCACTCTTCTCATTCCCACCTCTGAAATTCTCCTTGAGTTCATCTTTACCTTGACCTTGCTTCTGCTGAAATCCTTGTTCACATTTTAATCACTTTGCATCCTGAATACTGCAATTCCTTCTACGGTCTGTCTAAATCCCAACTCTCTCTAAATGTCAAGAGGTCCAGAATGGTGTAGTCAGATTAATTTCTTGTTCCATGCATGGATAAACAATATGATAGAAGGGTTGTTTACATGTAGTTAAACTGAGAAGCTGCAGTAGAAGATGAGGTGATTGTATAGAAAAACAGGAATGGCAGAGAAAATATATACTGCAGCTGGAAACTAGCTAACATTCTCAGGCATTACTACTATTACTATTACTACTAGAATATATGTAGGAGCAAGATCAAGAAAGTTGGAAATCTCAGGAAAGCTGGAAATCCTGTATCATTGCAGACAACAAATGTCTACTCTGGGTCTTTGGGAGTGCCTCTGCCTCCCAAAACAGTGGCACACATTTGGTATCAAAACAGGCTCTAAGATCCTCACATGCACAATGCATCTGTTGGTTAGGAAAAAACTTTTTCTCTCTGCAGCCAAGGGGACACACAACTCTCCAGGCTTGCTTGGCCAGCCAGAGGCTACCACATCACACTTTGTTAAGTATCAAGAACAAGTGTAAAGAAATCATTTGGCAGAGGAAGCTAGAGCACAGGTATGCTATGTCACATTGTGCTGTTCTGCAGTGATATAGGATCCTAAAAATCACCTTTTTCAGAAGGACTTGATATAGAAGTTGTCCTGCTTTTCTGGGAATTTTGTGAGTTGTCCTGCATTAAAGAAAAAAAGGGAGTATAAAGATGATAAGAAAGTCCAGATGTCTGAAGCCCTGCTTGAAATTGATGAAACACTGTGGCAACTTGGCTTCTCTGGAATCAGTGAAAATAACTTGAATTTTCCCTGGAATATCTTCAGTAGATAGGGAAGGTTTGCATCCCATATTAATCACTATACATCCAACAGCAAAACTACCATGAGGCAAACTTGATTCCAGCCTTCTTTTCTGGCTCTTATCATGCCTCTGACATTCAAGCAACATTAATCAAAGAAACATATCCTGACTACATTAAAAAAAGCCCCAAAATAATAATTTAACTCACTAATGCAAAAAATGCCTCATCCATTGTTTCTATATACTCCAGAATCATATTCAATTTTGTACGAAAGCATTTTCCTCACCTAAATGGCAATAAAAAACCCTAAAAAGAACAAATAAATCACTCCCTGAAACAGTAACACATCTCAAGAATGCTTGCAAACCAATTAATCAAAACCGCATAGTTTGGATGATTCAAATATTTCATTTCAGTAGTTTTGAGACTTAAAGTTTTTTTCCATATTAGTGGCTCAAATCAGTGAAGAAAACTTTATTTTGGATCAAGACACAGAAAATTTCCAAGGAACAGTTCTAGGAAGTAGTTTCAAGTTAAAAAATTACTCAAACCAATCTCTTGCAGAAAGAAGCACACCTGCTTCCGCCTCTTTTTCACAGCTGGCTTAAAAAAAAAATCCCAACAGGCTGTAGCTATTTCTACAAAACCAGCTAGCAAATCTGTTTCTGCCCACCTGTGGCTGCTCCTTCAGACCAAATGCACAGGCCTGGAATGGGGCGGTGACCTTGCTGCTGGAGATGAGGCTGAGTGCCCTAGAGCTGGTTTCAGCCTGGTTACATGCCCGTCTAAGCCAATTTCCAATTATTTCAGGTGCAAGTTTTAGCATGTGCAGCAGCCCTCCCACTTTGTTTCCTCTCCTCATTACCATATGAAGACTTGCATTAGATGCCCACAGGCATTTTGCAAATTCAAGGATTTTCAATTACCCATCCTCTGACAGGCACCGTGTCATCTTTGTACAGCAGCTTTGCATCCGTGAATGGGGGCTTGCGCGTCATTGTTGCCAGCAATGAATAACTCAGCCACTTCCCTCTCCTGCAGAACCCTGAGCAGCAGCAGCCCATGCCCTCTTGAGTGAGCTCTGCTTTCCTTCCACAAATATTGCTGGATCTATCTGTGGTGCCAGCTGTGGATGGGAATTTTTTTTCAGCAGTGGTTCTGCATCGCTTACGGTGCATTTCATCAGTGCTGTTCCTGCGTGTGCAAATGGAAAACATAACTATGGAGCCAGCAATATCTGAGGGATTAATATGGTTTCTCATTAATGAGAACTCTGTGACCTTTGGTATGGGATATATTTAGCCTGTTTGTTCTCTTTTTTTAGGAGAAGTATATTCTGCAACATGCTGTGATTTCTGGCCTATTGATTAATGGGTCTTTCCACCACAAGAAATCTTAATCTTTCTTAATTGCCTTAATGGCCTCATGGCCTCTCTTTTATACTCTCTGCCCACTATGTTGTTGTTGCAAATGCTTTTGTATCTTAACTTCATGACCATACTAAGGACTTAAAGGAAACTGACTGAGAAGTCTATTGTTGCTCTTGTTCTTTCCATTATTTAAAATCCTGTTTCAGGCTTCTAATATCTGTAGGTAATTTTTGGATGTAAGTCTGCATATATTATAAAAAAATTGTCCAGAATTCATCAATAAAGGAGTTGATTTTTTTAATAAATTCATAGTATAGTTCTTCTTTTAGTTCCAGAGATCTCTAGTGCAGACCAACAGATACATATATATTGTTATTCAAATCTGAAATATTAAAATTCATGGCTAGTGTTCAAATGCAGTGGTGAGAATCCCAATTCTACAATTCATAGAAGACTTGAGTAAGTCTGCCCTTAGGAATGATTTGCTATGATACATAGAATGAAAGATGAAGAGTCCACAAATAAATATCTGGTTTGTGTCTCTGCTCTCTCCTGGGGGTTTATTTAGAAACAAAAGAAGTGATGAGACAAGGAGCTATCAGATTTTCTTACAGTACACGTCATTTAAATTGCACCACGTCTGGGTCAGTAATATTTGTTGGTCACTGTGTTTTATTTGTGCTGTGAAATAGAAAGGCAGAAGGCAGGCCAAGTAAATGACAGCAGACAGTTTACTGACTTAATTTTCCACCTACTCTTTCTCTCCATGAAGAGGTGGAATGCCAGCAGAAATACATGGACTGCCTGTGTCATCATTAGCCCATGGGCTAAATACAGTATCATCACACGAGGTTGACTCACACAGCACTGACACTTGCAGGAGATGTACCCACACAAAAGAATAATTATAACAGGGGTGTTGTTGACATTCATAAGTGACCCTAGGCTCAAAAATTTTAGTCCACAAAGTCTACTGAGGGTACAATATTTTTTCAAATGCTTCCAAGCAAGAAGGAAAAAGTTTAAGAAAGATTTCATCTAAGTGGTCACAGTAGCTTAATCCAAAGTTCTTTATTTGCCTGACACTAAGTTAGTCCCAGCAACTTCTAAGTCTAGATCTAGTCTAGAGCCAGCTGTGCAAAAGCAAAGGCAAAACTGTGAAGGCAGCAACTTCTATGGAAATAATTTCACTCCTCTCAGAAGGGAGAAGGTAATGCACAGTAATTGCAATACCCACAAACAGCAAATCTTTAAAACTGTCAGTAGTCCAGAAATGTGTCACTTAGACCACTGTAATTATGGGAGAAAAGGTGACATTTAGGGCTGGAAAAAGAAACATGCTTGTGGTAGAGTCTTTTTATAGGAAAATGTCACCTGTTTAAAAGCTGTTCAGAATTTTGGCAAGTTAGAAATAATCATGGATGACATTACTTGGCAAAGAGCAGATGGAAAGATCAAAACTGGATAATAGATAAAAGCAATCTGGCCCATGGTTCCATCTTTCAATTTATAATGGCAGCAGCAATGTCAAACACTCCAAAACCTGACAACCAACGTGGTATGAGCAGGTCTGAAAGCAGGGGGAAAATGCCCAGGGGCAAAAAAACCCCAGCAAATCACACTGGCAATTTGAAGGAGTGAACAATACGTTTCCCCCAATTAGAAAGATATGTGCATATGCATAAATATTATTTATTTGCTGAGTTTTGGTGGGATATTAAATGTTAGCAGATAAGATTTAGTAAGGCTTATGGTTGGTTACCTCTGCAATGTTAGTTTTCATCCTTTCCTTTAGCATGATGCATCACATTAATGAAAGCAAGCTTCCATCCTCTGAAAAGCAGGTAAATCCAGATCTTATAAAGCCTTTCTAACACGGAGGTCAAATTTAGGTTGGAAGTTTGAACAAAAATTCTGATTTTAGATTTCTATCCAAATCGCATGTTTTTAATAGAATTTTCTGTATGCAGTTTCCTAGAATGTCATTTCTTGTTGATTTTGGTGGGGAAGGTCAAAGGAAATATTCTTTAAAAGTTCTGATCTACACAACTTGAATATTAATTTCAGCTTGCATTGCCACCAGGGTTAGGCTCTGCAGATTTAGCCCTGACACTGAAACAAGAGATTTGGAGCTTTAATAACTAAAGTCAGAAAAAGGCATTTCTCCCAGTGATGAAGACAGATGGTCAGAAGGAAGTCAAAGGAATGAGGTATTTTAATGAAGGCTCACCTATGGTCCAAGCACTTTTGCACTCACTTCTGATACTTTCAGATACTCATCAATTTCACTTGAATTTTTTTGCCATAGTACCAAATTTGGACTTGTTATACACAGCCTCAATTGACTCAGAGAGTCTGATTTTCAATTTGTGGGTATTTTAATTCTAGTTTACCAATAATGCAAAATTAATCTTAACATCCAGTTACAGATGCCACATCAGCTTTTACAGGGGGAAAAGTTTTTTCCTATCTTTTAAATTCAAGTACTTCTAAAATGTTTGAAAAATCTTTCTATAGTAGAGTCTGCCCTGGGAACACTGAATATTTGAGGTTTGATTTTTTTGCCTTTTTTCTCATGACCTACAAGAAACGTATTCTTTTGTTTAATGAAGAAAAACATAACAGCAATTTACCCACCCTACTAAAAGGTGATTGAGAAAGCAGCTAAAAATATAAAGTAGTTGTTTATGGCTACCGTTACCTTTCTCTGTTGAATAAAATGGATCAGGCCTGTATAAAACATCCAGGGTAAAAGCCCCTGCGAAAAGAGAACCCCAGCTAGGTAGGAATTGAGATGCAGGAAATGAGGACATTAAGGAATGTGCAGTGCTCAGTGCTGAAATGGTTTTGTTTGTGTATGTGTGCTTATTTGTTTGGTTTGATTTTTAGTTAGTGATATTTTCAGGAAAAAAACCAAAAAACAAAACCAAAACAATTTGTGACTAGCTCTGCCCTTTGCATTTATTTTCCTTCCTGGGACTTGGGGAAGAGCTGGCATTTTCTCTAACAACTGAGCTCAGCACCATCTGATGGAGCCTCTCAGCTGCATCTCCAGATGCTGAACACAGCTCTCTCTTGTGATGATATTGTGGAAATCTATGGTGCGGTCAGAGCAGTGCAAGTTTTTGATCTGCAGCCATCCAGGTGGTGGAAAGATTGTCTGAAACTTCTCTTAAAGCCTCTTCCACAGGTGAAGCACATTTGTAGGGAGGACCATAACTGGAGTAGAAATTTGATACTGATAGTACTAAGTCCTGGCCTTACTGGAGTTAAACTATATTTTCCATAGATTTTACTGTGCCTCAGGTATTCTTTGAATCTCAGGGAATTAAGTTTTAGCTAGCAATAGCATCTCTTTGCTGATTTTTGTGACAGTTTTTTTTCAACAAGAAGTTATCCAACAACCACTATTATGCTCACATCAAACACCTACCAGCATCTACTGAGCTACAAGCCAGGAGGGTTTCTTGGGAATGAAATGGCTCCATGACAATAGAAGGAACACCTTTTAACACCACCTCCACCATCACACTTCATGAGCATCACTAGACGCTTTCCTGAATTCTTACTCCTCTCACAGG